CTTATTTCACTTAGCATCACACTCTCCAGTTCCATCCACGTTGCTACAAAGGGCCATATTTCATTCTTTCTCATTGCCACGTAGTACTCCATTGTGTATATAAATCACCATTTCTTTATCTATTCATCAGTTGATGGACTTTTAGGCTCTTTCCATAATTTGGCTATTGTTGAGAGTGCTGCTATAAACATTGGGGTACAAGTGCCCCTATGCATCAGCACTCCTGTATCCCTTGGGTAAATTCCTAGCAGTGCTATTGCTGGGTCATAGGATAGGTCTATCTTTAATTTTTTGAGGAACCTCCACACTGTTTTCCAGAGTGGCCGCACCAATTTGCATTCCCATAGAAAAAAAAAATAATTACGTTAGCCTTTTCAGTCAAGATGGCACAGGCTGTATTGTGTCAGTAAGTTTATATAGGGAATTGTTTGGAATTGTTTTGATGTGGTCATACTGAAAATGCTGTAGTCTTCAAGTTCATACCGAAATTGCATTTCAGGCTTTCAAGAAACCTGGTCAGGGATTCCCCAACTTAGTGTATCCTACACTTCCTCAAAGGTTTCTTAAATCATTAAATTACTAGTGGGACAGATATTTCTAAACATAAACTGTTACTCATTTTTTTGTTTTTGAACTCACTCTGTGGGCAAAGGTCTGTTTTAATGCAATTTTATTTCTTTGTCTCAAGAGGATACGCAGACCTGGCTTTTTGGGATTTTGTGATTTTCTTCTCCAACAGTGTTGTAACTACGCATCTGCAGGGTGCTCAGAGGAATGAAATCATGAAACCAAAAGAAACCAGTGAATTGATGATTAGATCAGGAACAGATTCTGTTTAGTTTGAAAGGCAAAGGTTAAGTTCGCTGGAGGCATGATGCTGGGTGTTACAGGCCAGGGCCACAGAGGAAGGAAGGCAGCTGTCACCTCATCTGATGTGTCTAAGAAAGTCTGACCTGCCACCACCGTAGAAGCACCAGTTTTCAGTTCGATTCTGCGGGTCCGTCTTTCCAAATGCTCTGAATAGCATCCTCAGTAGTTCAAGTCAGGTAGGGTGAGCTCAAAGAAAACTTTGAGAATTTTACCATCAAACACCGAGGCAGAGTTAGAAATAAATGTATGTGTGTGCACATGTGTGCCCTTGACACCAAAATTTATTAATTTGGTGTTTAGTGTATGTACATATAATGGATTAAGCATCTATGTGCCATGCTCTGTGCTATTTCACCGTATTGCAGTCTTCCCTCCAGAGCATATTTTAAGCAAGTTAAGTAGAAATTGGTTTCCGACTCTCTCCCCATCTGTGACAAAGTATGCCACTATGGGAAAAATGCCCTCACGCTGTTGAAAACTTTGGGTATGTAAAGGGTTAAGATGGCAAGACTGGGTCTTGTATACAGCTTTCCCACCTGCCATAAAACTCTAGTTCTCTCCTCATGTGTTAGCTCCTTTCCTCCTTTTCTCACTAAAAATATCTTTCCTGCTTAAGAAACTCCCACTTTAATGCAGTGACGTGTGGGTGGAGTGAAGGGAGCACGTAGACTCCGGTTTGCTTCCCAGCCCTTCTTCCTAGCCTGTGCTTTTACACAAGTTCTTTAGCGGCTAAACCTGTGGGCTGCTGCAGGGTATAGCATCAGCATTGTTGTCACCATAGTGTCCCTGCATGCAGAGTCCCTGCAAGTGACCGGCACGCTTGATTTTCGCCTCTGTAAAGCAGAGATATTATAAAGTTGTCTTGAGGTTGAAATGATACCGCACAGAAAATGCCTGGAATCCTGGCACATCAGAGTTTGTATGTTGGGCAGTACATGGGAGGTGTGGAGTGCAGCCTCTGGGGCCAGACCCCTGGGTTCTCCTCTGGGCTCTGCCACTGTAACCTTGGGCAGGTTATTCTCCTCTCCTGGGTGAGAGAGTCCTGTACTGAAATAGCATTGAGAGTTCACTCGTGCAGCAATGCGGATGCCGTAAACACTCTCCTACGCTCTTTGTTTTCTCCGCTCCACAGTGAACCCTATGAAGTAGGGAATGTATTGACCACCACTTCACAGATGAGCTGGTAAGTGAGGGCCAGGAATCAGACCAAGACAGTCTGGCTCTGACATCCTGGCTTTCAACGCCTATACTAAACCGCCTTTCTAACATCTGTAAAATGGGGATGATTGCTGAGTTGAAGATTAGATGAATATATGTGAGACAGAGTGGCGGATGGCACATAGTAAGTACTCAAACAAGTGAGCCTCTATGAGTCGTCACCATTATCATCGTCTATCACATTGCTCTCTGGTTTGAATATTTAAGGTATCTGACATGGTTGGGTTGCAGTATTAGTCTCTCTCTATATATGCTATCTTCACACACATACATACACATAGAGAAACAATCTAAACTCTTGATTCTTTATCACTCTTTATTTTTTTATACAATTTTTTTT